GAGAGACCATCCATGCCTTGAACTCATCCTGCCTATCAAAAAAACTTTGCAAGCACAAGAACATTGTGCCAAATCTAGTGGCATTCCACCGGACCAGCTCTCCACCAATCTTCTATCTCATCATAGCATGAAGTCTGTTATGGTTATAGAAAAAATTACATGCGACCATTGCAAAAGATCATAAAGTTAATAACACACATCATATTGTTGCTTGTCCATGAATCACACATGAGGGTGACTCCAAATCGATCCCAATCTTCCCTAAAAGACTTCATGTGAGCTTTCAAGTCATTAAAGTTCTGTTCTAGCAATGGATCATCTATATCTTTTCCTTTTGGGATAGGCACATCACCAAGTTGTTGAGTCAATTTAATTGCTGATCGAAAGTAGGGGCAGTCAGCTTTCCTTCCAGGAACATCATTGGCATGGAACCACTTAGACCAAGTTTTCGCAAGCCTAAGCGTGGAATCCCCACTAAGCATAGTGTCAATTCGAGGCTATAAGGGCGCCTTACTACGTGCCAAGTCTATGTCAAAGGGAGCTTTTGAAGAACTTGGGTTATGGTAGAAACTGTGAAGCGAACTTTGTCTAGTGGAGGCAGCAGCCCCACTGCCACTGCTACTTGCCTTGCCTAAGGTAGCGGACTTACTCCCACTGCTACTTGCTTTGCCTAGATTTGAAAGCCCAGTACTAGTGGCACTTCCCTTATGAAACAGAGGGCTGCCACTTGACCCACTTGGACTGGCAGTCCGACAAATACCACTACCACTTGCCCTATTCTTAGGAGTTGAGCCAATATCCATCAGTGAGTTTTGCATTGCCATCTCATACTGTGCCTCTTCGTCAAGGCTAGCTAAAGTTGTTCTATAATCATGTTCCATGAGTGCCTTCTCAATATAGAGACGACTTTCCTTAACATCTCTCTTCTTTTTCTTCGCTAATGCTACTTGATCCAGCAATATTGTCTTAACATTAGGTGGCACATGGGAATATGACTTCACGTTACCAGATATTGCACACAAATGCTCCATTAAGCAGGTCTTCCCTCCACTTTTCTGGCCTGCAGAACAGTAGCCACACTTCCAGTCATTTGTACCCGACTGTGTCCCATGGCTCCATGTATCTTCAATTGGTCCTTTCAATTTTATCCGCCTCCCTAAAAAACAGTGTGATCCATCGTTAGAACAGAACAATTCATGGATGAAACATGAAACAAAAAAGGGTATTTTGCTACACACACAGACCTCCAAGAGTAACCACATATGTGTCGACCACACTTTGGATGGCTTTCTTGCCGTTCTTTGCCAGTACTTTCCCTTGCCACTTTGCTATGGCATTCCATCTCTCCTAGAATTTGTCTCATAATTAGGATTGAAACATGTTGTATCAAAATTCCTAAAATAAATTTCATTTTATACAAGAGTAATTATTCATATAAAATTGCGGGTTGATACACGCTTCGCTTAAGTGTACTATTCTCTAATCCACCAAGTTGAACAAATAAAAGAAATTATTTTGTACTCAAACAACATCCTAGAATGATTCAAAGACTAATTATTCAGCTAGCAAAGCACCACTGCACTTCTCTACCATCTACCATCTATTGCTTTGGCAAGAAAGTTAAATCCTTGAGTAGAAAAGAAAACACACCAAACTCTGGACTCTGAGTCTTTGAAACGCTTTGAAAGGCGTGAAGCTCACCAAGAGGTCCCCTGCCGCGATGGGCGCTCGAGGAGCGATTCATGGCGGTGGCGGCGCCTGCGCCAAGACGCCACCGACGCTGCCCGCCGTTCATTGACTTCGTGCGGCACCGCGGGGTGGATTCGTGGCCTCGTGGGTCCAGGCTATGGCGGCGGTGGTGCCATGAGCGTGGCTGTGCCTGCGTGAGGGGAACAAATGGGATTACGATTGGATTTCTAGGGTTTGGGGGGATTTTGTGGGCTGGGAGCCTGGGAGGCGCTGTTGGACTGTCATGGCAGGAAGTTTGGGCCCATCTGCTGGGGAAGAGGAAAAAGCCGGAAAATTGGCTGATACCTAATTTTTATCGGGCCCCACCGATAGAGACGATATTCCGGAAAAATCCATGACTTTCGGCCGACAAAAATTTCCTTCCCTTGGGATGATAGCAGAAGTCTAGGTACGAAACAACAACTTTGACAGAGAGGCTAGAATTTTCAGTTGTTCTCTAATTGCTGCCAACTAGTTGTGTCAGTCGAGGTTTGCTTTGGTAGTGGTGGTCATTAAACGGCAATGCCATCTCCTATGACGTGATGCGCACGGAGGCCACACTCTCAGGTCCAGTGGAGGTTGGTTTTGCCATATCCAAAATCTGATGTCGAGAGGTCGTGGAATTTCATTGTGTGGAACAAAAAGGATTGCATCCAACATACTTGGCTTGCTAACATGCTTAGCGATAATGGAGTTGTTCTAAATCCAAATGTGTTATGGTGCACATCAACATCAAAGCCTTTGCTATCTGGTGAAGGCTCTAAGCAGCTCAGACAGCCTTCCCTTGAAATTAGTAGGCTTCTTCGCTCTGGCGGCTGCATATTACCCAAATTTTAGAGTGCTAAGTATCATGTCACAGAAAACAAGTCGTGTCGTAGGGCCGTAATCACACTTCGCCACCTTCAGGTGCTCTGGAGTCAGGAACCCAGAGAAGGGTGGCTCCGGTTTTGTGATCTGACCGAGTGCCGAACAATGCGCTGTTCCTTTTTTCTTTCGGATAAATTCTTTGTGTGTCTTGCTGCTATGTACCAGCAAGTGTGAGATGTGAGACAGATAAAAAGGTGGAGTAACAAGTAGAGAAATTCCCAAGTGTGAATGTCTTGCTACTCTGTACTAGCAAGTGCAGAAATTCTTCTCTTTTCATTAGATAGAGAAATTCTTTGTGTGGCTTGCTACTCTGTTCCTTGCTTAGGCCTTGTTTGGATGCGTATGTATTTATTTCAATCCATATGTGTTGAAGTGGATTGAAGTGAAATTAAACTAAGTTTCATTCCAATCCACTCCAGCACATGTGGATTAAAGTAGATACACATACATCCAAACAAGGCCTCACATTGTACGAAGCAATTAATACTCCCTATTCTCCACATTACAATTCTCGGTGAAAATGGCATAACACATGTATAGGTAAAAACAGCTTTATTTATCATTTAGCAATTTTATTTGTTTGGTTATTAGGTAGGTAGGTTGAACCGTTAGCTAACGTTTAAAATATAGACATTCTATGCATAAAAAATAGAAACAGAACATTAGCTCACGGTGGTGAAATTTTGGTACCCAAAGCTAGGATAATCCGATTTGCTCATCTAGAAAAAAAACGAGGCCAAATACAGCACACACGGAAGGGGGGAAACTGAAATAGAAAAAAACATGAAAAAATTAATTAAAGAAGAAAAATAAAAGAGAAAATTAAAACGAAACAAATATGGGGTGAAAAACGAAATGCAACGGAGAAGACTGAGACGGTAGAAAAACAGAAAACACGGAAAAAAGAAAAGAGAAAAAAACAAGTTGTGACAAAACGCATGTGAAAAAACATGGACCAAAACGGATGGCCGGGTGAAATATTAATTGGGCTTGGCCCATCATACACTTTAATTCCTTTTGGGCCTCCATTCTTAGCATTAGGCACTATCTTAAACAATATGTCACCATTCAAATTGTTCACGGCAATACTTTTATTTGGAATCAACCATGGTGCCCTATATGGATAGAAATGTGTGATCGCTTAAATCTCGAACAAACAACTTATCAAATTCCAAACACGGTTTGTGATTTATGGCAGCCTAACTCTAAGGATTGGGACTTTGAAAAAATTGTAAGTCTGTTTGGCCAACACACTATGGAAGTCCTTTTGCAGGTTCCGGTGATTGCTGGTGATGGACCCGACATTTCTTTGCTGGAAGCTGAACTCAGATGGACTTGGCTCTTTCAAGAGTGCTTACAAAATGCTAGCAATGCAAGAGGCGGCTACTTCACTTCCCACAAACATCCCTACTCAGGTTGTGCAAATTCTTAGGCAGGTTTAGGTTTGGGCTAACAAAACCATGCAACCTCGAGCCAAAACTTTTGCTTGGCGACTTCTCAGGCTTGCACTAGGCACTGCAAGCCGGATTCATAGAATTATTATTCCTACCATTGAGGAAACATGCTCGCGTTGTGGCTTGATTGAAATGAGGCCCATTTGTTCTTTGAATGCAGTTTTTACTTTTACCAAGGTGCAGTGGTTTGGTTTGGCTCGACGTTGGGTCCGAGAACCCATGCGTTTCCTGCTTCTCAGCAGGGCTTGTCGCTTAGAAATAACATATATTTTCTTTTATGGTGTTGGATAAAAATACTTGTTATAGATCTACACCGTTCTAATTTTAAGGGTTTCTTTTAATTTAAAGTTGTTAGTTTTCTTAAAAATAATATAAAGTTTCAGTGGCATATAATTCTCGTTTTGTTTTATTTATTTATTTATTTATTATTACACCATGTTCTACGGTGCTGCCTGCGTCACACTGATATACGGTGCTGTATGTACTGCTGTGTGTGTGCCAAACAAATCAAGGCCATGTCGCCAGCACCAGCAGGAATTTTCGAAATACACAAAGATGGGGGCAGCGTGCTCGAACCTCGGAGCCAGCCTGTGGCTCTGTGCCCTCCAGCCTCCAACAACCGCTGGAGGGTCAACGCCTAGCCCGCCCGGACGGCCTCCCTCCTCTCCTAGGCCAGCCTGAAGACCAGGCTCCTAGCTCCTAGCTATTAGCTGTAATACGTAACTGACACCAACTGCAAGCGCAGACGTGGACGCATCCATCTCTCCCGGTTCGCCGGCCCGTGCGCCACGCCCACGCTCTGTCCGAGCGCGGACCCAGCAGCTGTTCGTCACCATTGTCTTTATTATTGATGATGAAAGAAGCGATGGTGAATAACCCGGCCCAGCTGCGACGGTGAGTCAGTCGGTCGATCCTGCAAGCACGGCAGTGCAGCTAAGCATAAGCAAAGCCATGGCGAGCACCGGGGGCACGCCGTTCCTGCTGTCGCCCGCGACGGGGCACGCCGCCACGCCGTCCTCTGCGATCTTCAACGTCGAGGCCGTGGGCGCGGGCCTCGGCACCGGCGCGCACCACGGGGCCGCCAAGTCAACGCCCGCTCCCGACGCCGGCGCCGCCTTCGTGCTCGAGTCCAAAGGTACGGTGCGGGGCGCTTTGCCATGCTTGCCTGCACATCCTCGATCCATCCATCTCACTCACGTCGCCGCCGCCGATTTCGCGGCGGCACGTACTTCGCTTGCTCGCTGCCGACCTTATAGCTTAGCTTGTTGTCTGGTGGTCCGGTCCGGCCGGCCGGCGCAGGGACGTGGTGGCACGCGGGGTTCCACCTCACGACGGCCATCGTGGGGCCGACGGTGCTCACGCTGCCATACGCGCTCCGGGGCATGGGCTGGGGGCTCGGCCTCGCCGCGCTCACCGCCGTCTTCGCCGTCACCTTCTACGCCTACTACCTCGTGTCCAGGGTGCTCCACTACTGCGAGGCCGCCGGCCGCCGCCACATCCGCTTCCGCGAGCTCGCCGCCGCCGTCCTCGGTACGCACGCACGCACGCAGCCGCCGTTAGAGATGACTATTAGTTACTGACGGTCCGGCCGGCCGGGGTGATCGATTGATTAATCTGTTTCTTCAACTAAGGATAGGGATGGGTGTTCTACGTGGTGGTGAGCGTGCAGACCGCCATCAACGCCGGCGTCACCACCGGGAGCATCTTGCTTGCCGCCGACTGCCTCAAGATAGGCCTTTTCTTTTTCATCAGTCCATCCATGTTTTCTTCTTCCTTTGAGTCTGCACCAAGTTTTTAATTTGCTGCCGTCATCTAATTTCTCTAATGTTTATGCTAGTAGTTCGGGAAGAATAAAGAAAACAAAAAATAGTATATTTTTTTGAAACAAAAAATACAATATTTCTGGTTTAGCGATGAGTTGACTTTGGAGTCATACGACATCTGATGGTGACCTAGCTAGGATTTGGACTTCTGCCTTCCATGCCATCCCAGGGGAAAGTCAGTCAGCTTACATAGCTAGAAGGAATGAAGGATTGATACTTTGCATGATTCTGTGTCAAATCAGCTATCAGCCTGTTCGGTTGGCTGGTTCGTATCGTTGCTGGTTCGTTTATGTAAGAGAGAAATACTGTTGGTTGGTTCACGTGAATAGTGTCCATGTGAGGAGGCTGGCCAGCCCAGTCAGCCAGCCAGCCCCAGCCGAACACGCTGTATATAAACTGTGTCTGAATACGGCTCGATTCTAGTTTTTGGAGGCATGCATCAACATATATCAAATTATCAATCGATGATGGGCTCAGTCTCACTATATATCTTTTTTTTAGACAAAAGGGTTCCCCCGCTTTATTACCATAAAGGCCCTGTTCAATTCGCTGAAAAAATAAGTCGAAACACTGTTCCAACTGATTTGTTGTGAGAGAAAAATACTGTTCTAGCTGAAAAAACCAGCTGAAAAGTAAGGACCAAAGCGTTTCGTAAACGTTTACAGAAAGGCGTATCGGCGTGCCCGCCAAGGTTTAAAACTGTCACAGACCTACGAGCCTAAAACACTCCTAGAAATCCCAGCAACATTATTACAGTTTGCCATTGAGAGATCAGACTGAATCACAACGCTTGAGTCCTGCTCCAAAGACTGAGAAACCAACGTCACCGGTCTTGATGGCGTCTCCTCAACCAAGCAAAGTCTTGGCGGCTGAAGAGCTTCGTATTCCAGCTTTCTGATTATCAGCTCCACCGAAGAACCCAATTCTTGGTCGAACATCGGGCTCCATCTTCTTAAAAACCTGGCAACCCACAGAATCAGCGCTTTTTCCCCTGTCCACTTGAGACCCTGAAAACAAATTTTGTTATGGAAATTCAAAAGGCCCCAGAGGGCCGCTGAAGAAATAATATTATGGCATAAGTGTTTTTTATTAGCAATCCATAAAAGTTGCCACGAATTCAAAGTTCCATTCACCCCTCAAATCAAGAATCTCGGTTATCAATAGCCACAACCTTTGTGCCACACAGCAATTAAAGAAAAGATGATTCATCCAGGCTCACTAAAAAAAGGTAGGTTTTATCATAAACTTCCCTCCTCTTGGCAAGATTGTCTCTAGTTAAAATCCTATTTCAGGCCAAGAGTCACAGAAAAATTTGTACTCTTGGTGGAATCTTAAGTTTCCAAACTACATGTTCATAAACAGGAGTTACACCCCTATGACTAATAACTGCATAAAGTGATTGGACTGAAAATTTACCATTAGAGTTAAAACTCCAAACTATCTGATCACTATCATCCTGAAGATTTAAATCTTCAACTATATTTAGCAAATCATACCACATACCCATCAACTGTTCAGAAACATTTCTCCTGAAAGTTAGTCTCAAGACTTGTCCATCCCATACTTGACTAATAGTCTTACCTTGATGCTCATTAATTACATATAATGGCCAAAACTGGATGGCCAGACTTGAGTTAGCCCTTGTTTAGTTCGCGAAATTTGGATTTTGAGGCTACTGTAGCACCTTCGTTTTTATTTGGCAAATAGTGTCCAAACATTGACTAATTAGGCTTAAAACGTTCGTCTCGCAATTTTCCACAAAACTGTGCAATTAGTTTTTCTTTTCGTCTACATTTAATGCTCCATGCACGGGCCGCAAACATTCGATGTGACAGGTACTGTAGCAACTTTTTGGATTTTGGGGTCCAACTAAACAAGGGCTTACCAAACCACTGATCCTCCCAAAACCTAACTTTCCTGCCATCACCCACTTACCATTTTATACCCATTCTTGCTGCTTGGAGTGCCCACATAACTCCTTTCCAAAAAGGAGATACTGAAGTGTCATTACAGCAAAGAATGTTAGGATTATTAGTTCTATATTATAATCAATGATCTTTGTCCAAATAGACTCAGGTTGAATATTATACCTAAAGATCCAGGAACTTAGAAGGGACATATTCAAGTTTCTCAAATCTGGGATTCCAAACCCACCTAAATTCTTCTTTTGTGCCACTAGCTGTCAATTAGCTAAGTGATATTTATGGCAATCCTCATTATTGTTCCACAAGAAGTGGGACATTTGAGAGTTAATCATAGTAATATATAGCCCATTTTGGAAACTTTATAATAGACATGAGATATATAGGAATGCTGGCTAGACAGGCTTTTAAAATGACAAATCTACCAGCACAGGAGAGTAGTCTCCCCTTCCAACCTGCAATCCTTTTGATGATCTTATCCACAATAGGTTGCAAGTCTTCTTTTCTCAAATTGGTGAAATGGAGGGTGTGGGGGTATGGCCCCCGGTATCCACAAGACAAGACATGGGCCGCACCATCAGAGGTGGCCCAGCCCACAAGATCAAGACGTGCACGGCGCTGCTCGGCGTGCACCGTAAGATATTGTATAGTACCAAATGAGATACTTTCCTTGTAACCCTACCCTCCAGAGTATATAAGGAGCGGCAGGGGTCCCCTAGTGGACAGATCGATCTCCATAGATCTATTTAGTACATCTCAATACAATACACCAAAGACACATAACGTAGGGTATTACGTCGATCAGACGGCCCGAACCTGTCTAAATCGCTGTCTCTGCGCCTTGTGTCACCATCTGGTTCCTGATTACGCGCACCTCCACCGATAAATCTACAATCGCGGGATACCCCTCGGTGGACTGCCGACGATATTCTGTCGACAGTTGGCGCGCCAAGTAGGGGTGTGCGCTTGATCCATGGCGGGCCAGATGGGATCTCAAGATCGACGCCGCTCGTGGCAACCTGACTTCCTACGGCGGCGTACTTCAGTAGCCTGACATGCTCGATATCACTCAGCGACGGAATCAATCTACTACAGCGACAACCCGCGGCTTGACCGATCAAATCCCAGCTCTCCTGGATTGTTTTCGAAGTCAACACCGAATCATGAGATCGACAAAAGAAAAGGAAGGTTCCCGTGACTAACCGCTTCAACAAGCATCGGTTTTGGATTTGATCCGATCTTGCAACAGCGACGACCACGTGCATCTACAGCACCATGCATACGAGCGTGCGGCCAAGGAAGGGGCCTGGGCAATCACCGACGGAGGCAATAAGCATCCGCCATGCAAATCGACTTGCATGTGCTCATGTATGTGCGTATACATGCACAGAACTGTCCCTACGACTACGACCAGATTCAAAAGATCCGATCAAGACTACGCGTCGACTCCATGTAGAAGACGAAAAGCATCACCGACTCGAATTGAAGCCATATCCTGACACGAATGAAGTTGTTGCCAGCGGCTGGCGGCGCACGGCCACGACTCCAGATCGACTGCACGTCTTCGTACGCGGACCGACACCGCCAAGCTCTGACTACGTCCGTCCTACTCCAGCATCAGATCAACTCCGTTCCAGCCAACAACTCACCGCTCGCCAGGTGCTCGCCGTCAACGCCATACGCCGCCGACCAGACTTTCCGTCCAAAACTAAGTCACGCTTTAATATTCTTCTAAATATTCTCTAATCTCCGTATATCGCCATAATATTTCTCCGAACTGTTTTCTCCATATTTGCTCTCCAAACGATTTTCCGAACCCTCGAACAGTCACGTTGATGCTCGGACGCCTCCAGAGACGGCTCTGTCTCCGGCTCCTCCCTACATGTGCTACGGGTTCCGCGCTCTGCGTTATGGGTGGTCGGCAGTGGCTCCTTGGTCATGCCTGTTCCTCCTACACGTGCACGAGCTCCGCGCTCCGCGTTATGGTTAATGGGCTAGATAAGGCTGGAGACTCAGCTACACACTAACTGGTCGGGCGGTTTATATTAAATATAAATACATCTTCACACCAACTGATCGCCAAACTGCATACGCTGTTTCATCACCATTGCTGATTTTTCTTCGAATTTCATATATTTTTACATCATGTACTACCCGTTCTACATGTTTTTATTGCAGGATCATCATCTAGGTGATCGGACCACCTGGTGCTCAGACTTCTCCACCGATCAACTGGTCGGACTGCTAGGTTCATGCGCTTCATCGCCGACCAGTTGATCGGACTGTTCGCCGGTCGCTTCTACTCATTGCTCACTTCGCCGCCGACCAGTTGACCAGATTGTTCGTCGCTCCTGCTTCATCGCCAGCTACGCCGGTTACTCCTCGGCGCTCGGATTCTTTGTGATCGAGGACTAAGTGGACACACTTCACCGCACGGACGTCGCCAGCTACGCCGGTGCTCGGACCTCGCCAGCTTCACCAAGAACTCCTCGGTGCTCGGACATCGCCGCCTGCGCCGGGGACTACTCGCTCCTCAGTGCTCGGACATCACCAGCGACGCCGGGAACTCCTCGCTCCTCAGTGGTCGACATCGCCAGCGACGTCGGGGACTCCTCACTCCTCGGTGCTCGGACATCTCCAGCTACGCCGGGGACTCCTCGGTGCTCGGACGTCGCCAGCTACGCCGGGGACTCCCTTGCTGCTCGGATCTTGCTACGTCTCATCAGTGTGCTATCAAGCTGCTCCATGCTGTTCGGATCAGGGTGCTGATCTTGGATAGCACGTCTGGAGTCTTGATACGCGCATGTCAGACGACATCGGCAAGCTTTCAGACTTCTTTTTCTTTGACCCTGCTACAAGATTCATTCTTCATCTTCCAGCAGGCTTGGGGACTAAGTGGGCACACTTCACCTTGCGGTGAATGTGCACTTTTCTCATCTCGAGGCTACGCCTGGGGACTGGCTGCCTGCTCGGCTTGTCTTTCTGCTTTCTGACCCTGGCACCATGTGACTACATCACCTACTGTCAGGCTCGGGGACTAGCTGTGGGGGTATGGCCCCCGGTATCAACAAGACAAGACATGGGCCGCACCATCAGAGGTGGCCCAGCCCACAAGATCAAGGCGTGCACGACGTTGCTCGGCGTGCACCGCAAGATATTGTATAGTACCAAATGGGATACTTTCCTTGTAACCCTACCCCTCCAGAGTATATAAGGAGCGGCAGGGGTCCCCTAGTGGACAAATCGATCTCCATAGATCTATTTAGTACATCTCAATACAATACATCAAAGACACAGGACGTAGGGTATTACGTCGATCAGACGGCCCGAACCTGTCTAAATCGATATCTCTGCGCTTTGTGTCACCATCTGGTTCCTGATTACGCGCACCTCCACCGATAAATCTACAATCGCGGGATACCCCTCGGTGGACTGCCGACGATATTCTGTCGACAGAGGGGGGCCCCAAATACTTGATGGGAAAATCCCCTTTTTTACAGCAGAAAATTTTAGCATATTCATTCATCCTATCACCCTCAATTCCTATTGTCAACATGTCACTCTTATCAAAATTAATTCTCATCCTAGTCATCTGTTCATAACAAAGAAGCAACCATTTTAGATTATTGGCCATCTCCAAATCATCCTTCAGAAACAATAAAAGTGTCATCTGCGTACTACAGACTGATGACACCACCCTCTATCACTTAGGGTAAAAGCCCAACAATCAAATTTTTTCTAGCATCTTTAACAAGCATCCTAGTGAAAATGTCTGCCACCAAATTAAAGAGGAGAGGGGATAGGGGGTCACCCTGTCTGAGACCCTTTCCAGGTTTAAAATAAGTGCTATTTTCATCATTTATTCTCACACAGAGGGAACCCCCTTTAACCACTGTCATAACCCAGCCTACCCAAGTTTTACCAAAACCTCTAGAAATTAGCATCTCCTCTAGAAAAAGACCAGCTGACCCTATCATAGGCCTTCTCGTAGTCTAGCTTCAAAATAACACCACTCTCCTTGTTTTTATGAATGTCATGAATTATTTTATGTGCCGCCACAACACTTTCCAATATGAACCTTCCCTTAATAAAAGCAGATTGGTTCTTAGAGATGAGTCTATCAGCTACCTTGATCAATCTGTTATTATAGCTTTCCAAAAAAAATTTAAGCTACAATTGAGCAAACTAATAGGTTTGAACTTCTTAAGAAGTTTTGCCTCAGGTTCTTTTGGAATCAATGTAGTTAAAGCATAGTTCAATCTGTCAAGATTTAAACCACCATATTCAAACTCTTTGACCAATTTCATAAAGTCATCTTTAATCAAATCCCAAAAATTTTGATAAACATAAAAGAGAAACCATCAGGGCCAGGGCCCCATCAGCATAGGTATCAAAAACTGCTGTTCTAATTTCTTCTTCAGTAAAAGGTGCCTCTAACATATTATTTTCTAGAATAGTGACTTTGTCCTCTTCCTCCCAGAAATTCTCATCTAACTTAACCCCACTATCAGGTTCAGCTCCAAACAATTTTTTATAAAAAAAACAACAGCATGATTCAAGATCAGCTCATTATCTTCAATTAAACCTTCATTTGTCTCAAGACAACTAATTCTTTTCTTTCTATTCCTTTGGTTGGCTACTGCCTGAAAGTATGCAGTGTTCCTATCTCCTTCTTTCACCCTCCTTTCTCTTGACCTTGGTTTAGCCTTCATCTCCTCCATATTTCAAATATTTTCAAGTTCTCCTAAAATGTTTTCCTTCCTAGTTTTTTGACCTGGTAACAAGGTCCCTGCCTCATAATTGATGTCTAGCGTTTCATACTCCTTAAGGAGATCACTTTTGAGTTTTCTAAGCTCTGCATTGACATTTCTAGCCTAGCATTTCACCTTCTTTCTAAGCACTCTAAACTTGAATTGCTAGACCTCAATTGGATCAGTAAATATACATTCTGTTTTCCAAATCTTAGCAACTAGGTTTTTTAAATCAGGGTGACTCAACCACCACTTTTCAAACCTGAACAACATAGGGTTTCTTTTTTTTTCTTCAATCCCCAAGTTCAGGATTAGAGGGACATGATCACTACCGGCCCTGGATTTAGAAATGACATAAGCTAAGGGAAAGTTCTGTTCAAAACTACTACTGCACATAAATTTATCTATTGCAGCCATTATAGGCTGTTCCTGGTTGTTAGTCCAAGTAAAAGATCTAGAGGAATTCTTTAATTCAACTAAGCCATGATGGTTCATCCAATCTTTAAAAAGATCTGTCCATTTTTGGTACACTATCCATTAGCTACAAGATTAAAATCACCCCCAAACAGGGTTGAACCAGACCAGTTCTCTACCACCTCATGCAGTCCTTGAATAAAATCAGATCTGCCCACCTGCAGTCTCACTATATATCTCACTGTATCCTTCCTGCACATATATTTATGCATGCAGATAATGTACTCTGACCTGGCACCGCACGGCCCCCTGAAGCTGTACCATTTCATCATCATCGTGGCCATGGTACGGTGCTGGCCTTCCTCTCGCAGCTGCCGTCGTTCCACTCGCTGCGGCACATCAACCTCGGCTCCCTCATCCTCAGCTTCGCCTACACCATCCTCGTCTCGGCTGCCTGCATCCGAGCAGGCGTGTCGAGCAACCCTCCAGCGAAGGATTACTCGCTGAGCTCGTCCAAGTCGGAGAAGACCTTCAACGCATTCCTCTCCATCTCCATCCTCGCCTCGGTCTTCGGCAACGGCATCCTGCCAGAAATCCAGGCCACGCTGGCGCCGCCGGCCGCCGGGAAGATGACCAAGGCCCTGGTGCTGTGCTACGCGGTGGTGTTCTTCACCTTCTACCTCCCGGCCATCATCGGCTACTGGGCGTTCGGCAACCAGGTGCAGTCCAACGTGCTGCAGAGCCTGATGCCGGACGAGGGCCCGTCCCTGGCGCCGACGTGGCTGCTGGGCCTCGCCGTCGTCCTCGTCCTCCTCCAGCTCCTCGCCATCGCGCTGGTGTACTCGCAGGTGGCGTACGAGATCATGGAGAAGAACTCGGCGGACGTAGCGCACGGCAGGTTCTCGCGGCGGAACCTGGCGCCCCGGGTCGCGCTCCGGACGGCGTACGTCGCGGCGTGCGCGCTCGTGGCCGCCGCGCTGCCCTTCTTCGGCGACATCGTCGGCGTGGTGGGCGCCGTGGGATTCATCCCGCTCGACTTCATCCTCCCCGTCGTCATGTACAACATGGCGCTGGCGCCGCCCAGGCGCTCGCCCGTGTACCTGGCCAACGTCGCCATCATGGTCGTCTTCACCGGCGTCGGCGTCATCGGCGCCGTGGCGTCCGTGCGGAAGCTTGCGCTCGATGCTGGCAAGTTCAAGCTCTTCAGTGACAACGTCGTGGACTGATGATTATATCAGTGTTAGCAACAACAACGTAATCAATGCAAGCTGCGGTTGTCGATGTTGAAATCATGTTAATTAAATTCCGAATTTCGAAAGTGTACATATGGACTCTGTCCCTCAATCGATCTTATCCTTGTCTCCCGTCACTGACAAAGTCGTTAGACCCGTGCCTAATACTATCTTAATTTGATTTGAGGAAGTGCAGATATGAAATTTAGGATCCATCAAAATCGCTTTTGAGCAAGGATTTTTTAACCTAAAAATAGACTATGTCATCGATTGAAAGACGTGTCTTTTCTAGTGTCGGGTATAAAACCGTCCATAAAAATCTATTTTATGGACGGTTTGTTAAAAATAATAGACAATTAGATATTGCACCATACACGCTGCAACGATGGAAGCAGAACTGTAGAACTAAAACCGATTCTTGAAAACGTATTGCACCGAGAGAATATTTTAATCCAACATGCAGGTAGGTCCATCTTAAAGTAGACATTTGAGATCTGTGTACATGTATTGCACCGAGAGAATATTTTAATCTAGAATGATTGTTTCTATTATTTTGTACTGAAGGTAATAGACAATTAGATATTTGAGGCCTATAGTACATGCAGCCACTATATTTAGACCTTATGCTGAAATTTGATTTATGGTGATGCTTTATACTGAATTGTTGTGAGAAGAAAAAATATTATTCTATGGCTAAAAAGTAGTGCTAAATAAGCTCAAGTGAACATGGCAAATATGCAGATCCTGGAAAGACAAACGTGACATAACTCATGAAAAATACAAAACAATTTATATCCTAAAAGCAGGTTCAGAAAAATAAAAAGGGTTGATAGTAGTACTAAAATAATTTTGTTTTACCAAACTAAACCTTGACGTTTTTTTTTATGTACCAGCAGAGGTCAGGCAACCAGTGGTTTTATTAAAAAGGAGAAGAGAGTTTCCAAAGAGCTAAAAAATACATGATAGTGTCTAGCCATTCTAAGAATATTTTGATTAAGATGAAAACATTTCAGTAGTCCAAATGCTCCAGCTCCTTAGAACTAGCACATCCATTGAGAAAGGCAGAGAGAAGTGTGTCTGAAAGGATTGTAACTGCTGATGCAAGAGATCCAAGTGATCTGTAACAACAACATGTACATTAGGTAATAACTGGAGAAGTGGGGCGACACACGTCTTCCTGCCGCGTAGAGTGTCCCTTTCATATTTTTTTAGTTGTAGATAGATAAAAGAAGATAATTAAGATAGAGATAGAGAGTAGAGAAGAGATAGAGATAGAGAAGAAATATATAGAGATAGAGATAACTGGAGAAATATTCAAGATTCCTTTTCAAATGAGCAATAACTTAGGAATAAATTTTGCACAGCTCTTCTCCGATCCCTCACAATCCTCAGTACATAAAATGCAGCTGTAGCTCTGCAGGAGGCAAAAAAGGATCGTTTAGTGTCTCACTCAACTGACAAATTTTTTTTCCAAATCGATTTGAGGGCCGGACGATGCATGCATGCGTAATGCAGTGAAATGGCCTTTCATCTGTCTAGCCTTGCCGCATGGTATGCGATGCGAGGGTGCTGACCAGCCGCCCTGCCCTGACGGCTAGGAATTAAACAACTAACCAACTGCCGAAAGCAAGGCGCAGCAGACCCGATCGATCCATCTCACATTATCACCTGCACTAGTCAGTCGATCGCTCTATTTATACGGTCCGCTCAGTGACTGCGTGACCCGATTGATCTCCAATTCTGGGGCCGGGAAGCGATGAGCAACATGCTGGGGGCTCGCTGCCGCCTGGGCCTCCTGCAGGTGGTCCTGGTGCTCTTCGCCGCCGTGCTCCTCGTCGCCGCCGATGCCGGCGTGACGAGCGAGTACCGGCGGAAGCTGGAGGCGACGGTGGAGATGCCACTGGACGCCGACGTCTTCCGCGTCCCGCCGGGGTACAATGCCCCGCAGCAGGTCAGGCTCAGGCACCGATCGATCGGCTCGATCAGGTCAACATATATAATTAAAGATCCCATCTTTGATTAATCTTCTTTTCTCTGATCGCCGCCCGCAGGTGCACATCACGCTGGGCGACGAGGAGGGCACGTCGATGATCGTGTCGTGGGTGACGGCCAACGAGCTGGGCAGCAGCACCGTCATGTACAGCGAGGCCTCGCCGGACCCGGAGAAGATGGAGCTCTGGGCTGAGGGCACCCACACGCGCTACGACTACTTCAACTACACCTCCGGCTTCATCCACCACTGCAACCTCACAAACCTCAAGGTCAGTCAGTTAGTTAGTTGCCCATTCCATGCATCTGTTATGCAATTGCAGTCAGAATACACAACTAACTAATGGCCGGCCGGCCGCCCCGCCATGGACGGTGATCCAGTATAGCACCAAGTACTACTACGCCATGGGGTTCGGCCACACGGTGAGGAGCTTCTGCTTCACCACGCCTCCCATGCCGGGTCCTGATGTGCCCTTCAAGTTCGGTCTCATTGGTAACAAGAGAAACCACATTGAATTCATTTCATGCCTGACAAGTGACAACTGACCCATGACTGACTGACTGAATAACAATGCACGCAACGCAGGCGACCTGGGCCAGACATTCGACTCCAACACGACGCTGTCGCACTACGAGTCCAACGGCGGCGACGCGGTGCTGTACGTGGGCGACCTCTCGTACGCCGACAACCACCCGCTGCACGACAACACCCGGTGGGACACGTGGGCGCGGTTCGTGGAGCGCAGCGCGGCGCACCAGCCGTGGGTGTGGACGGCGGGCAACCACGAGCTGGACCTGGCCCCGGAGCTGGGCGAGCCCGCGCCGTTCAAGCCCTTCGCGCACCGCTACCCGACGCCGCGCCGCTTCGCGCCGGCGGCGACGCCGTTCTGGTACTCGGTGCGGATCGCGTCCGCGCACGTCGTCGTGCTCGCCTCCTACTCCGCGTACGGCAAGTACACGCCGCAGTGGGAGTGGCTGCGGGCCGAGCTGGCGCGCGTGGACCGCGCCGCCACGCCGTGGCTGATCGTGCTCGTGCACTCGCCGTGGTACAGCAGCAACGGGTACCACTACATGGAGGGCGAGACGATGCGGGTGCAGTTCGAGCGCTGGCTCGTCGCCGCGAAGGCCGACCTCGTCGTCGCTGGACACGTCCACGCGTACGAGCGCAGCCACCGCGTGTCCAACGTCGCCTACGACATCATCAACGGCCGGTGCACGCCCGTCCGGAGCAGGGACGCGCCCGTGTACGTCACGGTGGGCGACGGCGGCAACATCGAGGGCATCGCTGATAACTTCACGCAGCCGCAGCCGGGCTACTCGGCGTTCCGGGAGGCCAGCTTCGGGCACGCCACCTTGGAGATCAGGAACCGGACGCACGCCTACTACGCGTGGCACCGCAACCAGGACGGCGCCATGGTCGTCGCCGACGGCGTCTGGTTCACCAACAGGTACTGGATGCCCACCGACGACGACACCAACTGAGTGATGATCAGATGCATCACAGCCATCGGCATCACCGGATCTGAGTCGGGTCAGTCAGAGGCACGCGTTCTTCAGGTGCACTATCATTCAATAGATCTTGCGTCGTTCTCGGTTCGATTCAGCTGTCGTCCTTTGATGATAATTGTGTACGCAAACTTTCAAGTGTAACAAGACTTCAAAGACCTGTGTAGCCAGTTCATCTTTGTGTTCTCTCCAAACAACATCTTTGTGTTCTCCAAACTGGTGGAATTCTGATAAAAAAAAATGCTACGATCGACCAACACACTGCACGGTTCACGAAAGCGACTCACAAGAAAATCATGGTTCAAAAGGCTCTCACTGCCAGTGGGTGCTCACGTAGCTCCTGTGCAGATTTTTTTTTAACGACCGGTCCTTAAAATATTCAACAGTTCTCATCTGGATCGTAAACTATGAAATCGCACGTTTAGCTCCCTAATGTATTTAAGTGATCACATCCAGGCCCAAAATAGACATAAGGAGGGTTTAAAGCTGACGTGGTCGTCCAAGCGTACATGATTTAAGCAGAACATCCCTGACACATGCAACGTCCCCGTCGGCGGCGGCTCCCGCAAGCCTCGCCCCATGCCCTCGCGCATGTCGCTGGCCGGCGTCGGCCGACCGGGCATGGCCATGGGCGCTGGCCTGGCCTGGGGCGTCCTCGCATCACCGCGGGTACACGGCGTTGACTGCGGTTCTCGCCACGCGACGAGACTTGCATCTACTCGTCCCTCTTGACCTCGCGCACACGCCCAAGGGACGGGACAGCTCCGAGGTGCTCACCGAGACTTGGTTGGCTACCCGATTGAAGCAGAGGTGGAGCAGAAGGCGCTGTCGGCGTCGAGGACATAGACGGCAGCGTGAACTAGTGGTCGAATCGGCGTTCCAGCGCGCCCTATGTATCCTCGTCGCAACCAACAAGCCGATAAGCATAATGGCACCATGGCGCAGCTAAAACAAAAGACGAGAGGATAAGAGCCTCACTGTAGCGGGCTGGCCACGGCGGAGATGCTTGCGTACGGCCGATTCCGGCGTCTAGAGACGATGCGACCGGGTCTGGGAGAAGCGCAAGGATGTGGCTGAGCTGCTAGTGCGAGCTATTGGACTGGGATGGATCGACAACGACGGATTTTACCGGCGAACGGAGGAGCTCGGCAACGGTATGAGAAAGGGAAAGAGAGAGATGGCTGGCGGCTCAGGTTTTTAACCGCGAGGGCAAGGCGTCTGAGCTTGCCAGCTCCTGCTTGAATGGCGTCCACGCACAAGAGAGTTGCACGTCCACACAAGCAGCAAAACGGAGAGCGGTGACGGCCCGAGTCCGCTCATGCGGCTTCTCCGCCTGTGGCTCCTGCTCTTGCTCCTCCACGCCCGTTGCCTGGTCCGAGCCACGCTCCTTGTCAAGCCTAGCGTGCGGGTCATCCAGCGCGGTCACCGCAGCGACGACGCTCTAGTTGTCGGGACACGACGCCTCCTTGGCCCCAACGGCCTTCCCCGCGGCGGGCGTGTCACGGGCCTCCGCCCCCGCGTGGCGGCGCAGGTGCGGCCCGTTTCGTGGTGACCTCGTACACGAACAAGGAGCGCATGGTGTGGCGGTACGAGGTGACCATGGCGTCATCCCCGTCGACGGCGGAGGAGGAAGTTGGGAACAACTCCCACAAAGACCGCAGAAATTGCTGATGATCCTTGGCAAAGCTTTGGCGTCGCTCACTTAGCGAGTGATCAAGCCGAAATCGGTGTAGCCCATAAACGTGATCCAAGTCATCTTTGGGTTCCTAAGCATTCATGATCCTAAGAGCCATTGAGTGAAAAGAGAGGCCTCGATCCCATGGCTCGCATGCTCTTCTAACTTGAGCCATACTTGATCCCGCATGAACACCACGCGGGAGTGCCACGGGTCACGCCAATCCGTGGAGAACATAATGTTAAACTGCCAAACGCCGAGTACGGTCATGTCATTGTGACTAGCAGCGAGAGCTAAACCCGCCTTCACAATGCAAGGTCACCATCGTTGACCATATTGCAAACCGAGTGATAGTGGAACTCGGGTATCCTCGGTTCCCCCTCACCAGTCGTGGCACGCCTTATCATCATCTTGTCGCCACCCTTCAGCAATTCCAATAGAGTTAAATGCATGGGTGGTCCATCAACTTGCGCTCTAGTTTCACTTAGGTCCATCTACTCTGAAAGTGGGTTTTTAGGTCCATAATCTTTGTTAGTGGCGCATTCCTAGTCCATACTCAATTTGTTTCAATTTTTTAACTGACGTGGCACCTCCGAGTCCAGGTGGACGGCGCACGCACGCATGCAGGTGCATGCATGGCTCACCGGCGCAGACTCGCGAGTAGGAGTGGCATCGTCATCTCTCACCTGGATCGCCCAGAGCTCACCGGCGCTTCGCCATGTTGCCCATCAGCCGTCTACGCCAAGCCCTGCTCTGCGCTCAACACCCTCCGCGCTCGTGCTCGCATCCCACCACGGAGGCCTCCGCTCACGCTCCTTCAACTCCCTAGCCGCGCCGCTCCAAGATCTCGTGTCGGCTGCCGCCACGAGCGACGCGCTGTGCCACGACGGGCGCTCCGTGTGGGGCGACTGGGCGAGCGCCATGGCCACGCGTCGCTGAGCAGCCATGGTGGCCACGACGCCTCGCCCCCACCAGCGAGCGCCATGCGGGGCCACCATGCTGGCCGCACCATCACGAGTGAGCGCCGCTCCATCTTGGGCTCCATCATTCTTGCCTTCTTCTCCGGCCAACAAGGGCGGCCCGACAGACACGGCACGGCGGCGCTTGGGACGAGCGAGGTGGTGCGCTCGGGTACAGGCAGTAGCGGAGACCCTCATGTCGTTCATCTTCTTTCTGCTGGTGGCGAGCAGCAGTGCGTCTGGGTGTTGCCGCCACCGCGAGCAGGAGCGGTCGCGCAGGCGGCGTGGCACGAGCGGCTGCGGGGCCGCCCGGCAGCGCGGTAGTGCGCGACGTCGGTGGCGGTAATCGGCGCGGGCATATGGATGTTGACGTGGCATATGGAGAAGGCCTCGTTCCTGAAACCGACGATGCCGGCGGCTTCACGACCATTGAACCGGACGTCGTCGCTGCACCCGAAGACGAGCGCCATGACCGATGAGGCGCGGCTCTGCTCCGGCCTTCGGGCGGCGCGCGCGCACTGCGCATAGACCGTCGATCTTCTTTTGGTGAACACAGTGACAAACTGGATTAGAAGCTAGTAAGCCACTGGTTCATGGAGGTACCTATGCGCGGCTCGAGAAGCTGTTCCTGTTCAAGAACGGGCTCGCCAGTGCCATACCGCCGCGGTGGTCCCGCCTCCGCGCGCTGTAGGCTCTCGACCTATCGGACAACCTGCTCGTCGGTACCATCCCGTCGGGGCTCGGGGATCTCGCCAACCTCACGTCCAGCGCATACTTGTAGGGCGACACGTAGTGCATGAACACCACCGCCCACACCACCAGGACGAACGCCGCGAAGGCGCCCACTGACGAGCAGAGCCCCACGAGGAAGTAGACGCACACGGAGTAGAGCAGCGCCACAGCGAGAAGGTACAGTAGGAACACCAGCGTGGCCGCCCCCACCTGAGACGTCGTCCGTGACCTGCTTGCCCTTGTCGACGCGGAGGATCTCCAGGAGGTTGCAGAGCATGGCGAGCGCACGGTCCGTCACGGGGGCGGCGTCCCCCACGGCAGCCACCAGCGCCGGCGCAAGCCCGGCCACCAGCAGGTGCGGCGCGTTGGCGGGCGCGATGGAGAGGTTCAGGACCTGCTGGCGCACCTGCCTGCCGTGGGCGCCCGCCAAAGCTGCCTGCCGCGGCCGCCTGCCGATTTGCCGAAGCAGCTGCTCGCCGCGGCCACCGGTTGCACACGACCTGTCCGTGCCTTATGCCCGCGGCTCGCCTGCGCCGGTACCTGCCTATGTGCAGTGCGCGCGCGCCGCCCGGAGGCCGGAGCAGAGCCGCGCCTCACCGGCCTTGCCGCGTCCCCGCCCTGGCCCCTAGGATGCCTCTACCACGGCCTCGCCTTGCTCGGCAGCGCCCGCGCCCCCCGCTCCTGCATCTTGCTTGGAGCTCGGAGACGAAGCGACGTGCCTCGCATCGACCCCGCGTCCGCCTTGTCCGCCCTACGCCGGTGAGCGCGACGTCTGCCTGGGGCATGTGCGCAGAGAGCCATGCATGCACCTGCATGCGTGTGTGCGGCGTCCATTTGGACCCGGAGGTGCCACGTCAGTTAAAAAATTGAAACAAATGGGGTATGGGCTAGGAATGTGCCACTAACAAAGATTATGGATCCAAAAACCCACTTTCAGAGTTTATGAACCTAAGTGAAACTAGAGCGCAAGTTGATGGACCACCCATGCATTTAACTCATTCCAATGTATTTGTGAATGCTCTGTTGGTGGTCTCCAACCAAATGTCCTACACCTGCACGATGCTGGAAGCAAGGGCGGAGCTAAAGAGGGCAACAGGGGCCACCCCCCAGCGTTGCTGAAATTTTCTTAACCCCTCTGTTGTAGCTTACTACCTCCATTATCTTTTTTTTTAGGCGCAACATGTAGAATTCTTTAATTTTGCTTGCATGCATCAACGCCCCATCAGTTTTCCTCCGCACGCATGCATCACGATTGGCTAACTAAGCATGCGCTGGCCATTTGGTTTCCCTTCGCATGCATGCACGGGGATTGGTTGCGCTAATTAAGCATGGGCGTCGGCTGGTTTCTTGAAAAGTACCCCATGCCCAACATATCCAAAAATGAAAAAACGCCGTACGCACAATAAAAGATAATGAAGTATTTGTTTTACAACTAAATTAACTTGAGTACTTGATTATAGTTGCTTTTACTAACTTATCCCAGTATAGTCAGCCTGTGTCATGACTTCTTTCTCGCTCAACAAACCTACATTCAGATCTAGTTTTTTACAACACTCAATAAAATAATTACAACAAACGTCTAAAAATAGATGAAACATTTAGAACATACA